CTTCTTTGTGAACCACACGTGTCACGAGAGTTTCTCTGTCGAACGGGGCAAATCTTACATTTCTCAACCTTGGCCACCATGCTGGCTGGGGAATTCTGGGAGTTGAAGTCCACCCATCTTCAACTTGACAAGGTTGAGAAACACTGCCTTAGATCATCTCCGACAGATCACCATCCTCCCTTTGTCTGAAGTGAAGAAGAACCTCCCACATTGTGTGGAAACCACTTACTCCAGCTGACAACTCATATAATCAAGAAGTTCTCCATGCAGTCACTTGGAACAGCTGGAAGGACTTCTGAAGAACCCATGGAAAGCAGGCCGCCCTGCTCTGAATTGAAACAGAATGACATGGACTGTAACCACCCAACCAGATCACTTTCAAGAAGGCTCAGTACTCTTAAATGGAGACTAAATTGTTTTTTCAGGCTGGAGGGAATGTTAATTAAGATCCTGCCAACCCTGGCCTTTTCTCTCCCATGTCTATAGGTTAATAAGAACCTGATAAATTCCCTCTTTTGCCACAAAGCCTCAGGCAGGGGGTTTAACAATTCCAGCCTCATGTTTGTCCAGAAATTAGCCTGGTGAAAAATCAAGTGCCTTTCCAGTCGAATGCACGCTTGGCATTATTGAGAAAAATCCAGACCATCCAGCAACCTGCATTGCCTTGCTTCTATTACCCATTGTCACAGGAGAAAACAAAATCTACACACATCCATACACACACACACACACACACACTGTTTTTGTGAGATGATGCAGGTAGGGTGAGGCTAGAAAGCATTGTTTGTTTTCAATCGACGGTCCTCTGACTCGCGTGAAAGCCGGACACTTCTGGAGGGCTTTGGGGGCATGATTGCTCACCATTATGATTAGATTTCTCTTTTGCATGGTTACTGTTTTTGTTGGTTTGGACTTGAGGAGTTGCACTGAGGTTTGGGGCTGATCCGGGCTACATTTATTCATCTGATTTTTGTTTTTTTGCCATGGAAGTTTTATTATCTTTGACCTTGTTGTAAGCTGCTGGGAGTTGGAATGATTTGGTGGAATGTACATTGGATTAAGAGTAATAATAATTGCAAGGCTGTAGAAAACCTGTGTGAAAGGCTCTGAAAAAAAGAAAAGGGTTCATAAACATTAACCGGGGTGGTCAAAAAGGTCACAATGGCGGCTTCAATCATGGGATTGAAGCCCCACCTGTTTTCACTGTGCAATGACGCCACTGTCTTGACTTTTTTGACCCTCCCTCCTATGGATCCTGTCTGGAGAAACTTGTGGGGGGTCAGATCTTTTGGACTTCTTAACTACTTGCAAGAAATCTTGGGTGCAATTTAACCAGATCTGTTTTAGTAGCTGGGTTAAGCTTAGCGGGAGAGCAATCATTTGTTGAGATTCTGCATCAGGCCTCTCCAGCCCAGTGCCTTTCTGATACCTCAGGAGTACAATTCCCAGAATTCTCAGGGTGCATGACTAATAGCTGGGGAATTCTGGGAACCGGGAAGCATTGGCCTGGGGAATGTTTCTGGATGAGAAGAGGCACAGTTCCCCAGGCCTTGAAGAAAGATGGAAATGGAAGCACTGAAATGTTCTCAAATAACAAAGCTGTTCCCATTAGGAGGAAAAAAAAAAGTGGTTTGGCTCAGTTTTATCGAAAGAGTTCCAAAGCATCATCAGATTCATCGAGGCTGGTGCCTCGGGGGTAGATGACCAGGATAAACCTGTTTGTAGCCACAGAAATATCATTTCTTGCTGATTATTTATTTATTCATCAGGTTTCTCTCTTGCTGCAATCATAAATAGATTCTTGGCAGTTCACAACAAGGGAGAACAACCTACATATAAATAATAATTTTTTAAAAATGCAAACCCATAGACTCCCAAAGTACTACCTGGTGTCAACACCCCAAGGACCTCCAGAAAAGCTTCCGGTTGTCCCTGGAAGCTGGATAACGTTGGAGTCAAAGTGCCTGCAGGGAGAGCTGGACCTGTTATGGAAAAACATAGTCCGTGGACTTCAGCAGATCAGAGTGGTTAACCCAACGCCAGTGGAGAGGGTTTAGCAAGGGTTTAACTTGGAAAAGCGATCTTCTGCACTGGGATGTCGTGCAAATCTTGCCAGATTCCACGACCTCTCACCACGCTCCCGAGAATGATAGAAACCCTCAACAAATCATCTCACTGTTGACTTGAGCACGGCTTTGAGTGCTCATTCCTTTTCGTGGCTCCCACAAAATGGACGGACTGAATCATTTTATGGCATCGGCCTCATGCGCCTACGAACGGGAACATTGGCCTGGGTGCACACACATATCTGCCAAGAAGCCCATATCTTTTTATGGAGCTGTAATAAAATGGGGGAACAATCACCCTTTGCGGCCACCCAGTATTTCAAAAGAACTTTAAAACCTCTTCTAAGTTTTGAAGAGGTCTTAAAAACTAGCAGACCAGGAGGACGTGGTTTACGGACTCCACCAGGGAGGAGAATGGTAAATAAAAGTCAAGGGGGTGGACATCACCTTGCTATGGAACCCCTGCCCTCTTTTTTGACACGTGTTGCATGTGCAGGGCCTGTAAAATAGGGACGGGGCTTTGATCACACATTATTTGGTTCCCCCCCAAGAATTTTTTTTAAACTAAGGGCAGAGAGCATAGCTGGACTAAGAGACATGGGGAAAAGAGCAGCTGTTAGAATCAACTCGAGCATCTGGCTTCGCATTTGATAGCAGTCCATCGACACAGCTTTTGTCTTGCTTCAGTGGCAGGAGAGACCGTCATTTTGGGGGCTGTGGCAAAAGCATTTCCATGCTGATTTGAAGTATTAACCCCCCCTCCCCACTGCAAAATACTGCCTTCATAAAGTCGGTTGCCCCTTCCTGCCTCTCCCCTGCCTGTTACGACTCTTTGCTGAATGAGGTCATTATGATTTCAACCATTCTTTGCTGGCCCAAAGTCACCCAAAGGGAGGGTTCATGGGTGGGGAGAGAATAGAACCCAACCCATCCCAGAGCTGGGCAAATTCTGCTTTTATTTTGCATTGTTGCTCTTGCTGAGTGGAAAGGACCTTCCTTCCTTCCTTCCTTCCTTCCTTCCTTCCTTCCTTCCCTCCCTCCTTCCTTCTATATAGCTTCCCATCTCAACTGCATGACTCTGGGTGGCTTACAGCAATTGAAAAAGCAAGCTACGCTCAACATAAACTATATGGGCTCTACTACACATCCAGTTCCCCACACCTGGTGGCACATCCACGTCTTTAAGGTCTTGCAGAAGGTCTTCTTTTGCTTGCTTAATGGTGAGCTTTCTCCCACCGCCACCGCCTCCTCCTCGCGGCCCTGATCTCCTGGTCCATCTTCCTGGCCTATTTTCCTGGCCTTGCCTCTCTGTTGCCCCTATCCAGAGACCCTGAGATTTCCTCAAAAGCTCCATCAGCCATGGTGGGCGAGATTAGGCAGGTGTTCATAGAGGGTGGTGCTACTCGGGGCTAGAGATTTCAGGGCACTGACTGCTCAGACAGGTTGACCAGCCTCCACTGTTGCTGGGACACTCAGTAGGTCAGATTATGATGAGCTACCATGCTGCTCTTCTTCCCGGACTATTTCCTATGTCCCAATTTTTGTGTCATCCTGACACTCAGCATCTTGCTGGGTGTCCTCAGTGCCTACAAAGTATCATTGCAGGCTGCAGAAAATGTCTTGGAGGACCATGTGTTGTCAATGGACTGTGAGTCTGAGATCTCTAGTATAGCTGGAGGGACACTGGAAAGTGTTGTATGTGTTACAAAATATGGTGGAGTGTCTTTTGCTGAATACCCCTCAAAGCCTGGGTTGAAGGAGACAGAGACAGATACTAGGTTGGGCCGTGTAGAAGATGGGGTGAAGAGCAGAGGAATCTCCAAAGAGACTGTAGAACATTTTCTCAAAGACTGGTTTTAGGCATAAGATATCTGTGTATGTCTTGTGATCAATACACCTTTGCTGGACTTAGCTAAATCATCTTGGGAAGCAACTGTCTCTAAATAGGAATGAGAGAAATCCAGACAACATCAACTAGGAAGGAGAAGAAGACATCAAAAATAAATATAGACCCTTAACCATCATCCAGGTTCATGGTCCAGTAGCAGACTTGCAAATGTATTAATCTTCATAGCACCCAGGATGAAGAAAAGCCTGGTTCTCAAAGGCAACATCTGGAATGGATATCAATTGTGGGTCCTTTCCTATGAACAAATATCAGTTCTCAGCTAGTGTTTTCAATCTTGGCCATTTTAAGATGTGTAGACTTCAACTCCCAGAATTCTCCAGCCAGCATGGTGGCCAAGGTTGAGAAATACTGCTGTACTGTATGCAAGGAACAGAGAAAAGGATGGGGTGCAATGGTTTAGTAGGAACTCTAGATTTTCCTAGAGGTCTGAGAGGAGATACTCCCACAGAAAAGATGAATCAGTACCTAAAAAAACACCATGCAAATGAGCACGCACACACAGAGTTTGGATGAAGTACATTTTACAAAAAGCGTACTGCCCCAGAGTGAGCTACAATAACCTTTTCCTTTTAGGGGAGTGGTCTGCCTTGCTGAACGCTGCAATTCCACCAGATTCAGTGCTAAATTGCTTCTAGGGAGGGTCTCCACAGCCTCATGAAGTTGCTTTGGTTGTGTGCAAAATGACAGTGATTGACAGTTGGAAAAACAGAAGGTACAGGGCCCATTCTCTGGGGAACGGCAATTTTAGCAAAGATGCAGCGACCGAGTTTTTTTATTTTAAGAGTTTCTAATGGCTTCCACATGCAAATACCACACAGCCTGTAAGCTTTCCAAAATCACAGTTGTCGATTTGGGGACTCGTTTGCCTCTGACGATCCCAACTGCCTTTAGACCGGAAAAAGGATGTTTTCCCCCAATTTAAGGGATTTATCAGTACCCTGCTGATCCTGTTTATCATTCTAAGGGCTGTTCACCACTGACAGCTTAGCAGGTACTGGAGGCATCTCTCGGTGGGTCAAGATGGCAGCCACCACCCCACGATCAAAGCTTCACCCTTTTTCAACATGCATAACGTGCAGAATAATAGTGTGACAATGTATTAAAGTTATATGATGCCCGCCTCCCAGCGACACACATAAAAAAGAGGTGGACTACACAGCCACAGCTTCCATCTTGATTTTTTGAGCCCTCCATCCCCTGTGGATGCCATTACTATGGAGCAGTTGGGATCTTCAGGGATGGCTCCTTGGTGGATTTTTGCTTTGCAAAGATAACACAGATTTGGAGGAACTGTTGGAAATCTGAGGAAGAGATGATTGAGAGATTATAAAAGACTGAAGGGGCCAACCCTGCCCCATAGGATGACAGGCATCAATTATTCTTTGTACTTTTTGGTGCTCCAAGAAAGGCTGGGATGTGCATATTGCCCTTGTGATACACAAGGAAATGTGGGCACCAGAAACTCCCTTGGTTGTTTGATTGGTTGACAACCTCCAAGGCAGTGTTTCTCAACCTTGGCCACTTGAAGATGTGTGGACTTCAAGGCAGTTGTTTGGCTGGTTGACAACCTCCAAGGAATTCTGGGAGTTGAAGTCCACACATCTTCAAGTGGCCAAGTTTGAGAATCTAGAGGCGTCTTCAGGGTGTGGTCATGAAGGTCAAGACTTTTTGGACTACACCCTGTGGACATCTCTGCTCAGATCCCTAAGTCAGTGACTCCCCCATCATGACCTCTGTCTCCTTGACTGGGGTGGACAACCCTTCAGCCTGATTTTTGGAGTATTCTCATTGGACCAATAAAACCCC